CTGCAGACTTTTTCAGAAATGAACGTATTTGTTTTCGTAGAATTCAAACTCTTTCACATTGGTTTCGAAAGTACGTATGAGGTGACGATAAGTTTGATGGGTGGCATGGCAAGCAATTGCCACTCCGTGGAAAGGGCTTCATATTTTGAAGAGGGAACGATGGAAATTTTTAGAAGTTAAATTTTTCAGGAAAAAAAAATGAAAAAAGAACGGGGAAAAATGACAAGAAAAATAATTCCTGAATTTCAAAATTTTCAAATAGTTACTTAAATAAGTAAAATTTTAGTTTAATTATAAGTGACCAAATTAAAATTTATAAATTTACTGAAATGACTATTTAGCCTTTTATCACTTTTTTCTCAAAGATACTAAGCATTCTCATCAGCCGGTTGGTAGCCAGAGCTCTGATGCTAGCAGTGGCTGTCAAAGTTCAAGTAAATTACAGTCATCAGAGCTCCAACATCCAGCCATTGACCGATAGCCGCAGGTTCAACAGCTTGCAACTATTTTTTTGGGGATTTTTACAATTTCATTAATACGATTAACAAGTTCTTTTACACTATAACAAGTTTAGTATAGCAATTAATAATAGTTTTTTTTTTTAGAAAATTCAAAAAGTAACAGTTTTATAATTTTAGCAACGGGGATAACAAATTTTGTAATGCTATTAATAAGTTCGATACACCAGTTAATAGCAGGTTTTCCAAGAAATTCAAAAAGTGGCATAGCTACAGGGACTACCTAATAAATCGAAAATTTTTTATGTACAACCTTCATATGTGGCTAATGTTAAAAACATCAATTTTCATGGGGAAGTTTTGTTAATGGTGCTGTGCGAGTTGTTAACATTGTTACATGACTCGTTACTTATGTTACTGAAGTTGTAAAAATGTCACTTTTTGAATTTACTGAAAAACATATTAATTACTATATCAAACTTGTTTATAGCATTACAGAACTTGTTAATTATGTTACTCAAATTATAAAAATGTCACTTTTTGAATTTTCTAGAAAACCTATTATTGACTGTTATAATAAACTTATTAATAGAGTTAAAAAATTGTTAATCGCATTATTGAAATTGTAAAAATCTCCTAAAAAAATAGTTGTTAGCCACTAGAACTCTGACAATTAGTTGTCAACCTGCTACTAGAGTTTAAGTGACGGTGGCCCACCTAAACTCTGGATCGCAGGCAGAGAAGCTTTGGTGACTAGTCGACTGGTGAGGGTGCTTAGTTTTTTTTTTTTTAAGACAATATGATTATTTCAATAAATTTTCAAATCTCAATTTGATCGCTCATACCTAAACTAAAATTTTACTTATTTAAATGTCTATTTAGAGATTTTAAAATTTAGAAATAATTTTTCTATCATTTTCCCAAAGAACAATTAGGAAATGCAAAATTAATGTACTAAAATTCAATAATTCCTGTGAAGTGTCAAATCCTAATTTTGAAATTAAAGATAAAAGATAGAAATACTACTTTTTTCTTTAAAAAAAATCCTAATTCTATCAAGAGAAAAAGCCATCAATAGCTATTGAGCCACAAGTGATTTGTTATATATTAAAGTGGTATAAAATAGTATATTTATAAACTATTTAGACCTGCTTATAAGTCATCCACAACTTTTATTTAACAATTAACAAAGTTTTTATTTCTTGTCATCCACAACTTTTATTTAGCTATTCACTATATTTTATTTGTTACTAACAAATTTCATTTAGTAATTAACAAATAAATCTTTTCAAGCCATTCACAATTTTTATTTAGCTATCTACTATATTTCATTAATTAGTTATAAACAAATTTTGTTTAGCAAACAACAAGGTTTAAATTTTTAAATTATGACTCTGTAATCAAATGCATGCTCTAAATATTAATTCTTTAATACCATTATTTTTATAAATTTTTAAATTTTAGTGCTTTAAATATTTTATCATATATTTAATTTTTTAAATCCCAAATTTTAAAATATAAAAATGATTACATGTAAAAAAATTTTGGAGTATGCTTTATTAACATTTAATTTAAAATTATCAATTAAATTTGTTGAGTCAATATTGTCTATTAAATGAAACAATAGTATTATAATTTTAATAAACTTAGAAGACTAAATTAAAATTTGAGATAAATGATGAAATGAAAATCAATAATCGATTACTCATCCCAGCAAGAAAGCCTTGGATCAGCAATTTGAATACCGTTCATTGGCAAGGTTTTGAATAGATTGATGATTATGAAATGGTGCTTATCACATTGATACATAATTATAGCATGATCTCATATCTTGTGTACAAATTATCATTAAAGATTTCAAATTGAAAATACACTTATCTGATAACTTTTAAAATTCTAAAATCACGTCATGGAAGAAGACAAAACAGATCCAACCGCGCAATAATATTTTGAATTTTCAAGTATTAAAAACTACGGTTTAAATTAAATACATAAAAATAATGTGATATTCAATTGTCCAAATTAAATTTGAAAAGAAAAGGAAATTTAATATCCATTAGCCGACGCCCATTTAATAATTTTTTCCCTTGAAGGTCATTTTCGGTCAACCAATTCCGAGCATTAGCTGACAAGTTTTTTAATTAGTTCTTATATTTAAAATTAAAAAAATATAATTTATATTGATATTGATATTTAAGTGCGGAAAAGACGAAAAGTGGAAGAGTACGGTCATGTTTAGATCGACATTTTTAATGAAAACGTTCGTTGGAATGATATAAACACGTGTTGCATTGTTGCTGGCAGATGAATGTCCAAACAAATGTTTGGGCACCTTGTTTTTTTTTGGTGATAGTGTTTGGGCAATTTACAAATGAGCTGGAGTTAAAAAACTAGCGCAACGCAGAAGCTAATTCTTTGAGCTCCTTCTTGGTCCAAAAAAAAAAAATCTTTGAGCTCCTGCCATCACAACGTGGGAAAAAAAAAGTGGTTATGGAAAAAGAACAAACCTAATAATTTAGTATTTTTTTGGTTCTTAATATAAGACCTATTTAACTAATTTAATTAAATTAAAAAAGTTATGTAAGTTAATTAATTATAAAAAAATAATATGTTTTCTTAAAACACCATAATCATTTTTTTTTAATATCCTCCCTTCTTCTTCCACTTACTTGATTATGGTTAAGGAAATATCAATAGGAGTAATTTAGAAAAAATTAATAAATACGAGAAATATGTCTTATATCTAAGATCAAACTAATTGAATTTTGAGCAAGGTAAAAAAACCGGACCGGACCGGCCGGTTCAACCGAAAAACCGGTGAACCGGTCTTCAGTCCGGTCTGGTTTGGTTGGTAGACCGGGCATAAAAGGAACCGGAAACGAATCGGCTAAACCGGTAAAAACCGGTTTAAAACCGGATAACCGCCGGCTGAGGTGGGTTCTCCGGTCTTTTCCTTTTTTCCATGTCCTACAGGAGGAAGAAGAGGCAAAAAGAGAAGAGTCACAGATAAAACGTATCAGACTTGAAAGAAGAAGAATGAAAGCAAGGAAAAGGAAGAGCAAGATGAAAGGGAAAGACAAAGAGAAGGAGAGGAGCTTGCCGATTGTTTTTGTAGAGAGCCACATCCTTGTTGCTTTTGTTTGAAACCCATTGAAGAAGAAGTGAGTTTTTCAGAGAGAGGGGGGAGGAGGAAGGCGGAAGGAGAAGAGACGTGAAGTCGAAAAAATCAAAAAAAGAAAGACGGTGGAGAAAGAAACAGAAGCTGAGGTCTAGTATAACGTGTTCTGTCCAACAAAATAAAAAGCTTGTACAAATTAAAGTCAAGTGTTAGGCCCTATGTATAGGCTTTATTTTGCAGGCCTAGTATAGCGTGTTCTGTCCATTTTTTTCAATTTTTCAAAGCCTCATTTAATTTAATTTTTTTTATCTCCCATGACATGTATTTTATAATAAAAAAAAATGACCGTCTTGCAAAACAATGAGATGAATGCAGTTTCTTTATTATACTACGTAAAAATTTTATAATCAAATATAATATTTTGAATTTTAATGATTAAAAGATTGTAATGATGAATATTTTCAATTATTTTGTTATGTGCTGTAACTAAATTATTGCTGTATTTTTTTATATTTTGTTATAAGTGATTATTAATGTTGTTATATTTTGTCATTATTAATTAAATTATATTATTTTAATATAACCGGTCTGATCCCGGTCTGACCTCGGTCTAACCATTAACCCTTAAACCACTTCCTCGACCGGTTCAATACCCGGTCCGGTTTTTTGTTCCTTGATTTTGAGTAATATATTGAGGACCAAAGGAGTACCATATATTGTTAATATAAGAACTAAATAACTAATTAATAAATTTAAATTAAATTTGAGGATATTTATAATAAATTGATAGTATCTTACCTAAAATATCTTTATTTTATTAATTATGTGCAAAGTTTAAAACTATGTGTGAATAATAACCTCTTAATATGTGTAAATAAATATTTAAGACAAGATATATTAAGATCTTATATTTAGTATTTTCAAATTTTCTCAATAATATATTAGCTATTTTTATAATTTTAATTTTAATATTTCCTTTAAACTTATCACATTAAATACATTTTTTATTAACAAAAATTGTTTTTGTAGTTATTTTATATCTAAACTTACTTTTCCACTCTTCATCCAAACAAGTTCTAATTTGCCGAAGTAACTTTCTTATAAATACTAATATAAATATAAACCACATAATATTAGCTGACTTTTATCTTGTCACGTTTGTAAAAGTCGTACCGCATCACATCTACATCTTGGCACAAGGCCTTTCTTCTCCCGGGGAAATAAATATACAAAAGTATGAAACAACCCTACTCCAGAAATCTAATTCTAAAACTAATAAACAATCTAAAGTAACAAAATAATGAAATTAACAACCTTGCCACTCGAAAAACATAATCATCTTTCTTGACATTTTACAAAGTAAACCGCAAACTGATGAAGTTTCCCTGCCATTTTCCTTTTCCAAACTGGATCTCTCATCAGACACAAGAATGAGCAGACCAATCCCTTCTTTTCTTCCTCAGAAGTCACAGGGGAAGCAATTGCATTCTGCTCACCTAACGAACCGTCCAAAAGATTTGGATCTTTACAAATGACATTCCTCCACCAGTTCTATTGGACATGACCTGGCCGGGCAACCTTGAGTTCCAGAATCAACCTTCAAACCTGGAGCTAGATTCAAATCCAATCCCCGAACTAGAGCGGCCAGCGATAAAATATACTATGAAATTTGAAAATATAACAAATAGTACAAATTTCATGGATAAATTATCCACACAGATTTCTCCAGTGCTGGAGCTTGATTTGATTTCCCTGATTTTTTAAGAATTTCTAAGATTCTCCATCCAAACACAACCTAAGAATGTTGCTGTTAAACTCACAACAACATCAGATACCCAACCACCTTCTAGAATATGAATCCACCAAAGGTGGCCTCATTGCCATTGCCAGCTTCATTTTGCCATATCACTATGAACCCCAGCTAGTCAGAAAGCAAAATACCCCATTTCATTGCTGACATCGGAATAATATTCATTATAACTGAGATATTCCCAGAAACGAGAAAGCCCAAAGCCCCCATGTTTAGGTGCCTTGATGTAGCAACGGTGCAATTCTTTTAGATTTTTATCAAACTTCTGCTTTATCGAAAGCACCTGCAGTTCAATACAATTAGCATGTCACACTTGCCTTTTCCTAACACAAAAAGAAAACCTAAAAGACACAGCAAGCATCATGTATTTTCATGTTCGGAAGAACACAAGGCCGGATCTGCTACTCCGAAAGCAACCTAAATACTTTAATATTTCCACATCTGCCTTGAAAGTCTTCCGCCAGCATGAACAAATCACCAAATTAACCAATACATTGAATTGACACTATATGAACTACTGAAATTGTGAGCCTTTTCAAATTACTTACGGAAAGTTAACTGATACCCTAAAGCATTGTCCAAATATAGGATCTGATGCCTGACATCTTTCCAAACATCTCAAGAACAACATATACAGCTAATATTTTTCGTTTTTTTTAATTTCCAGAATAAGTGCATCAGATGCCGGATTTAAAATGCTAAATGGTTTACCTGAGATATATTGATTTTGAATCTGCCAAACAGATTTTCCTGGCCAATTCCTTCCTCCCAGGTTCCTGCTGTAAGACACAACCGGAAATCTAATGCACATTGTAAAATGCTCTCAATAATGCTGCCTACAGTCCGGGTTTCTTCAGAGAGGAAACATCTGCATGAAGTAATAAATAACACACAGAAAACCATAACAACAGATTTAAGAGATATTCCTGAATGAAAAACTAATTACTGAACCAAGAGATTTGGGGGGGGGGGGGGGGAATGCCTGTCATCCTAATGATCCAAAGCTCAGATTTGGACCCTTAATTGCATTAAACTTCAGCCAACCCGACCTAGGATTGGCACCACACCACTAGCCTCAGACAAGTCAACCAATAGTTCATACATCCCAACAAATGAAGCCCAACTCATCACGAGTTGTCAAATACGTGAAGGCCCAATCTAATTTGTCATAACTCTGCTAGCAACCAAGTTTACAGACTACCATAACTAATAAACAGGTCACAATCCCCTATCATCGGACCAGACATTGAGAAGCAGAAATGAATCACTGATCTTATCAAGATATGTTACAAGGAGAGAATTTATAAGGCATAGACTGAATCATGATGCAGTTAATGATCATAAGTAATTACTATAATATATTTGCAATTTTCACTAATCAATCAGTATGCAATGTATGAGTATAAACTTACATGTGCAATGCATCGGCAATATATTCCGTGTGAACTGACTCTAGATCCATCATATCATTCACCTACATAAATGGCACATATATCCACAAGACGCATCAAAATAAAGAGAAACAAACGAGATCAATGTTATGATATCAAGCAAACTCTGTCACATACGATCAAAAATGATCAAAGATTATAACACCCAAGTGTATGGACGTGACTTATCTCTGTAAACATCCATGTCTGTCATAATTTTTAAGTTGCTATAACTGCATCCCAATTTTATCAGAATGTCTCAAAGGGTAATTGCTATTTATAAAACCATAATGAAGAAGCTGCTAGTTTAGAAACTAAATACCCGTTGATTTACGAGTCTTGTAGTTATATCTTAGGATTACTTTTATTATGCTATTAAGAAACAAGATTAATGCATCATGAGAAGACAGAATTATATACTCAAATTTGTATTCAACAATGTCATGTTAGTAATTAAATAATTAGGATAACTTTGAATTTAATTGGAGGTTTTGAAAGAATTTTCATCTAGGATTATGTCAACTCATATCATAGAAACCTAGCAGGATGAGAATACCTGCTATCATTATGAAATCTTATCCCAGGGATTGTCATTTTTTTTATTATTATTATTTTGAATTTGAATGCCTATTAATAGGCCTATAGTCATATCAGAAGAATCTATTTCTGGTTGCTTTCATTGCTGTCCTTCAGATTACCTCTCTTCTCCTCTTTCCTACTACAGCCAAATGTACCCTTAATATTCATTCCAAACAAAGCCAGCTAGATCGGGTTATTCTTTTTCTGGGCATCTTAGTCTGCATCTTTTTCTTTTATTTTATATGTTCCATACGATGTTTCAAAAGCGACAATGAACACTTGAACATATCTTGGATGGTAAAGGTGAGATGAGGTATACATAGTTCTTAGAGCTTAAATCCTTGTAATATAAGCCAAAAAGAAGAAGAAGAAGAAGAAATTGTCTGCTCTAAAGTAGCTAGCCATTTGAGACAATCAGATACATTTGTTATCCCAAAGTGACTTGAGTAGCAAGGAACCAAACCAATGTCCTCAACATGAAATTGAGGAGACTACAAGACAGAATACTGTCTCTTTGCGAACTACCATTAAAAAAAAAAAACACTTAAAGTATTATGTCTAAAATAAATAATGAACAAACAAATAGGAGAAGAGGCTTCAAACCTTATGGTGAAGGGAATGAAGAAACCTGCACCATGATACATGAGATAATTGTGACTCTACATACTGCTGCAAAGTAGAAACAAAATGGCTGACCTGGTGCCTGGAATAGAAAGTACAGCCAAAAGTACTCAATACATATATGTAAGGAAAGAAATTCGCAATCAATAGTAAAAGTTAGGAACTCTCCAAAACAATGCTCATTAGATTCCACAAAAATTAGAGTTTAAATTATAACTTTTAATAACTTAAATCCAAATATTTTCCATGCCAACATGATACATATTGAACACAAATATTGATTTCTCTTTCTTTCTTTGTTTTTTTTTGGTGTGGGAATGTATCCATGTATATTAATAATGGAAAATATAATTTTAAATATTTATTATAATAATACCAATATTCATTGAAATTAAAAATAAAGCCATATAATAGTAAAAATAAAAAAGTACAATTAAAAATTAAATATAAATGCATTGCCGTATATCATGAATGACAAACAAGTATTAGTCAATAAGATCATAATTATTATTTTATTCAAATAGAATTTATTTCTAGTTTATTCCGAAATTCCAGAGAATTGTTTTACATTGAGTAGAAAGTATAACGTGATAGTTAGTAGTATATTATAAATTATTTCTAACAACTGGTGATAGGAAATTTCTTGAAAAAACTTAATTTGTTCTATTTATTTGATAAAATTTGCTTTTATTAACAATATAAGAAATAATTATGTCTTTAAAAGTATGCATTTTAGACTATAAAATATGAAAGAAACTGGATAAATAATGTTAAAGGGGCTGAAGTTAAAATTTCTAGGGGTCGAAATAAAAAATTTGAGGGGGACTGAATTAAAAATTTTCTAAAAAAATATTTACACCATTGATGCATGCACGTAGGAATGAAAGTAGGCTAAGCCCTTATCAAGGGCCTATGGCCTAACCTACTTAAAGTTTAACCTAGCCTAATAGATCAGGCTCGGATTCAGGCCTACTTCGGCAAATACGCCAAGCGTATTTTTATAAAGCCTAGCTGAGAAGCCTACGGGCCTGGCCTATTTAATTTTTTTTTTTTAATTTGTGCTATTATATATGGTATAATATAAATCAATTTTATAAATTATTTATAAAATTACTAAATTTGGCTTAACCCTAACTTTCATATCACAACATTCATACATAAAATCAACTCTTTTATTCATCCATCGTTCACCTCTATCCCTCTTGTTTTTATTCACTCAAGATGGCAACATCAGCTTGCTTCCTCTTTCTTGATCTGCGTTGTTTGCTAAAGTATAACATTTGTTGTAAGTTTATTTTAGTGAAAGGGTTTGCCACAGTTTGTGCTGAAAAACCAAAAGAGATAAACTCAGTTTTACATGTCACTTTTGCATTTAGTTGATTTTAGAAAATATATCTCTTTAGTCAACAGATGATTGGTTTTTCTTATTCTTACTTGCTTGGACAACTGTTGTCACTATGCATTCTTTTCTTTTCCTCACTAAGCTCTTTTACTGCAAGTGAGGATGAATTCTAGGCTTTTAAGACATAATGTAAGCTTTTTAAATAGGTTTGAAAGGTTATATATGAACTTGGAGGCATAGACTTTTAAGCCAATACAAAGGCCTAGATTTTAAGTAGGCTTTTAAAGAAGACTTCAAGCCTTATCAAGCCTTTTAAAGGCTTGGGCTCAGACCTAAAAAATAGCCTATATGCAGGCTTAGGCCCAGGCTTTAGAAATCTGTTGTAGGCCCGAGCCTATTTAGCTGAAGCCTAACCTAGTCTAGACTATTTTCATCCCTAGTCATCAACAAAAAATAAAAGGGGAGAGGGCTTGCCCTGTTTGGAATAACCGTCCCTACGTCCACAAATTTCAGAGAGACAACCTGACCACCCCAATACCCTGTTACAAGCCCCACTAGAGCCTTTCCGCTGTAAGAAAGTCGAAAAAGGTCCTATGAAGAGGTCAAAGATATAAACCAATCTACAAAACGTGACCCAGATCAAATGTCCAAAAAAGAAACCGTAGTTTCAGCTCATACCTCAGCTTTATCAACATATTAAGATGGCCCACTTCATGCTGGTAGAGTTCAGAATTCAGTTTTTTACTGGTCATGTGCACCAAATCCTGTTTAGCGAAATTTAAAAGAAAAATCAATACTGGTACCCAATCAGAGGCCTCACATTCTCATTTCCATGAGCATACAGAATTTAAGGCAACTACAAACAGAAGCATACTAAGATATCAAACTTTGTCCATAAAAAAGATTGCAGACTCTTTGAGTATACCATTTTACCATTAGAAATAATTTAACTCTGAAAGGCAAAACGGGGGAGAGGGTATATGTTTCAAATTAATTCTTTTCCAAAGGAAAAAAATCCGTGCCAAACACAGGAATAAGCAAACGTAACTGATAAAGTACATGAAGAAACAAGCAGAGCACTTGCTAGGTGTCAAGTACAGAACAATGAAAGAACATATTATCTCGACAGCTAATCACATGGCAAAACGAAGTTTGTAATAGTTAATTTTACCAAAAGCTCAAACATAGAAATCAAGGCATACCATGTTCGTGTCGTGACATCTACTAACTTAAACCTTTATATAGTTATAGATATCGAGTATAATTTTTTTCTAACTAAAAGCTATCAGAGCTTGCTAAGGCCACTCTCTCTCATGAGATTCATAGGTAGCAATTCATGAAGAGAGTTAGATGACATTTAGAAGATGTGATATAAACAAATTTAGGATGGTCAATGATGCATAATGAAAAATGGAGAAAGTTTGAGAGAAGCCAAACCTTAAGAGAGCACCAAACATTAGTCAACGAAAAAACTCCAAGCTTCACTTGTATTAGAAAGCTGAATATATCAGCATATATCTTCAATGCAGCAGGTGTCAAAATAATATTGACTGGCCAATCCACACGGTAACCCAGTCCTAAGAAATCAAAAGAACGGACTCCTGCCAGGATTTACAGCTCCACTGTCAGAGAGCAATATTCAATTTTCTACCACTCTTAACTGGATAGAATTGCTGAAATAAGCCAACACTAATCAAAACTGAAAGGAAACGATAAACATAAATAACAAATCTCAACAAAACCAATTGTAATAATATTTGCCGCTGACTTTGTTAATATGATAAAAGTTTTCTTCACATAAATGAACAGCGTAATGCATACCAATAGTTGATATTGAGAATGGCATTTTCCCATGCCCTTTCACATACACAAATAACCTATCTTTATTACTGTCATTTTCACATGAAGACTTCTGAATTGATGACTCAAGAAGACCTTGAATTTCTGGAAGTCTCTCATTTGCTTCTGTAACAGACCTCCTCTGTCAAATCAAGTCAGGCAGAGGGTTAAAAATATAGCATGCTTGTTATATGTACGTGCATGTGTGCTATGCTTTAAAGAGTCATTTTGAATTCGGACATAGTTATACATGATGCCAAAGAGACAAAATAAACAAATCAGCCCAATCTGCTACTTCCATAAAATGATAGCGTCGCAATGCCAAGAGATGCTCTTTCAACTCAAATGCTTCCTCAAGAAAGTAGATGGTTAGCCTGCTGACATACTTATATCTAGCATATTTAAGGAGAAATATCCACTAGAAAAGAAAATTACCCAACGGCAACAATTCAAATATTCCAAATCATAAATTCCCCAAAGCTATACCCGAACAGTTATGAATAAAATTCAAATTTTCAACTTGCGGCACTCATGTAGGGATCAAACATAGTCAATTCTAAAATCTAAACACAGCCCCAGATATTGCCCTAGCACTCGCTCTAACAGCCAGACTTCTAGACATCAGAATCCAAATATCCTTTTTGAATTTCCACTCATTACCATTATCCAGACCCTCACCTTTCAGTTTTCAAACTCTCTTCCTAAGATTCCTCCAGGTGGACACATTAGTACTAGAGATTCTTCAAAACCTATGAGAAGAGGTCAAGTGAGCTGTATTTGGGGCTAACGCAATCATGGTCAATGAATGTTGTTCTTATTTCAGCACTGCCCAGAGCTCTATAAATATAAGGAATAAAATGAAACCACTATACACAAACTAATTGTCCAAAGTTAAAAGAAAAAAGAAAAAAAAAAAAGGATACTGAAGAATGATTTCCTGCAATAAGCATTTGTCAATTATAATATCAAGAGGCATTTCAAATGTTGAAAAACTGATCTTCTGAGTAGCACCACAATTGATAGGTTTTCTAAAACTACCAAGCAATCTTTCCCAGCTGCTCCCACCATGTACATCAGTTAAAATATCCTGGTTATGGTCTTTCATAGCCAATGAAGCACTACCACAGTTTCGGGTGGTACCAATCAAGCCATCCTCTCCAAGATTGCCTTCTTCACAATAGTGATCAATCTTATTTACTTTAGCAGATGCATGACAATCCACGGAAATTGCAGATCCACTGCTAAATCTGGAACTTAATAGTAGCTTGTCCATATAAACTTTACACGGGTCCTCCACAGTTGAAAAATTGAAGCAAGGTAAAGGCTGTCGGTCTGCGATGTACTTTTCTCCATTTCTACCCATCAAGCAAAGCAATGAATTTCTCGTCAACATAGGGTTCATGCTGAGGGGATTCATACTAGAATTCTGATGGTCAATATTTTGTGGTTGAAATCCGTAATTTAAGGAATGCGTGTCATTGTCATATGGATTCTTACCCAAGGCTTCCCCACTCAAAGCATCATTAACGGCAATAGTACTAAAATTGTATAATGTGGCATCTCTGAGCAAACCCATGTGTTTTCCAGCCACCTTTTGCACATCTATTTCATCTTCATCAAATGAGCTTTTCAAAATGTGACCGACTGACCAATAACTATCAACAGTATCTTTGTTATCACAGATTTTATTAGAAGCACTATGTGACTTTTCAAATTGGCAAGAATTTTGCATTGAACTATTTGCCCCACTACTCCTGGAGAAGCTTAAAGCAGATTCATAATTTTGTTGCTCAACTACTTTATATGGCCAATGAATCAACTGATCAGTCTCAGTTTGCTCCTCAGAGTTGTTTGAAGCTGAACTATCAGACAAATCATGCGCATCTTCCACATATGAGAGCTCATCAGCTGTACTTGAGACATCGGAGTCTGAATTGTCAATGCCCCTGCAAATTGCTATAAACCATCAATAAAGCAATAATGAATATTGAAAAGAGGATTAAAAATATTGCTAAAACATAGAAATTAAAATGAATAACAGCAAATGAAAACGAATATCTGCCAAAGAATGCATGTGTTTGATACGAAAGGGCATAGAATGCGAAGGAAGAAAGGTTAATTACATAATTGAACTTCTTTTTTCTGCTGTCCGCAATGCAATGGACTCATCTTCTGACATGAACAGATTTAGGTTATCTAAATTCCCTCCAACATCACCAACAAAAGGTAGCGGGGCATGTGTAGCAACCTGTAAAATTAGAGTTTATTTGCATAAAAGCAAATTATTGCAGGGTGAACAGAAGAAGCCAGGTCACCACCATGAAATCTCAGTCCTTTTTTCCAATTCCAATTCCAATTAGACAAGACAAACCAAAGCAAAAAAGATATTGTATACAATACAGTATGACAAGCGGAATGAAAAGAAATAAATAAATACTATAGGTCCAGGACTATACTACACAAGAAGAGAGCAGACATCAAGCTTTCAAGTATCAAAACTTGTAATAACGGAAGGTTTATGAAATACGCAGCCAGCGGCAGAACACCAAGTTTTCAACCATAGGTATACCATATACTATGGAAATTCTCCCTCTAATATTTGCAGAATTAACCATATTGTGCATTAATGAGGAGGATCTTACAAAAAACGAAGCATGAGTGCAAGTTAAGAAAAGAGAAAAGATGCTGGCCAAAGATTATAAAAGTAAAACAGCAACTTAGCAGGCAGAATCCGTAAAAATAAGGAAACTACTTGGCATGCAAGTCAGAAGATAAGAAAATTATAATTCATGATTTGATGATTGAAACCATGGTTACATCTCCAGGACATCATACATGCTAGAAAGCCCATTTAGAGAGCAGCTGTGGAGCTTTTCAAGGCAGATTAGGGTTGACGGGAGGTAGGTTTAAATGCGAGAGTTAGAGTACGCAGAGGTTTGTGATTGAAGTGCTGCGCAACAATTTTGTACTTCCGACATCTCTTTTCTTTTTATTCTCTTGTAGCAGTTATAAGGAGGCTTACTTGAACAAGTATTCAACTAGATTGGAGGAATTGTTAATAATAAATAATTTCTGTTCTGTCTTCTTTCTTCGTTTTGGTTCTTCATTGGCAAGGTGAATGTCTTGTGTCTGCCGGCCTTGTAACATTATTTCTCCCCTCAATAAATTCCTTCTTACATCACAGCTAAAAGAACAAAAAAAGAAAGAAAGAAGAAGGGAAAAGTGCAATTTTTATATAACGAACCAAATTATAGGATTTGATTACCTGTTGATATCTAATTTCTAAGTTGCTGAAGAGGCTTTTGAGCTTTTCATTCATCCTTTTATAATAATTGTCTCTTGCAAGCACCATTGCTTCAATGTCATCTCTGCTGAAGGTTAATGGAGACAAATATGATGAACCATTGTTTGAAAAACCACTCCAGCAGGGAAGAAAATCCTGAGAACTGTGGTCTCTTGTAGCAACATGAATGCACAACTCAAGCAATTTCAGCAGTACCTGAAGCTGCTGACCAGCTCTAACAAGTGGAACCAAGCTGTCTCTAAGAAAGCATGGAACAGCAACTCCAACTCGTTCCTAAGGTTAGCAAGCCACGACCATGAAAATCAATATAGTAGTAACACAGCCCAAGGTTATGATGCACATCAAAACAGTCTCTGGATCATATATTTCAGTATAAAAGAGAAAAACATTACCCTACAACTTGCCGCTTGAAAATCAACAGAAATGCCAGCTTTAATATGTGGATTAGGAGGTAAATGCCCAACATCTCCAACAATAAACTCCTTATATGGGTCATTGATTTCTGCTTTGAATATCCATGATCTAATAAACCCACAGTATGGTTCAAAGGATTGAAGAAAGAGAAACTTGAGCAGATTACAGTGAGCAGGATCAGCAACCTACATCTTAAGTAAACTTTAGTTAGAAGAAATTCCAAAAAGAGAAAAACCTTGTAAACGGTAAACATCTGTTTGTTTAGGGAACACATCACCTGAAGCAATTATTGCAACGATTATCTACCAAAACTAGGGAAAAACTATATTTTAGTAGAAAAGAAAGAGTTTAAGCACCAGAAAACACACAAAAAAAGGAGTAGCCATTCATTCAAGTGTAGCCTCTCTTTAGAAATTATATAATTCTTCTCATTGAAGTTGCTATAAGATTTGCATGGAAAATCACCAAGGAGCCAACTAAGTTCCAGAAACTCCTCATCGGTCTTTTTGAAACATAATAGTGATTCAATGCTCGGAATGAAACTCATCTTTCTCTTTCGCCATCTAAAATTGGAACCCTGTCATACATCCAGTCTTTCTGTGGGTCAAAACCATGGTTGACCACCAAAACAAAGTCTTTATTCTATGTATAGGATGACCAACTAAATTCTTATTTAATGATTTAATCCTTCATTATAATTCTTTTGGATAAATAGAAATTATTGGAAGAGGAAAACTATGGTTACAACCAGACTTATATGATTGTTCTTTACAATTTTCTCTCACTTGAGCCACAAATGCTTTATTAAAAAGGGAGAAAAAAAAAAGAAAAGAAAAAGAACCAACGTATGTCCAATAGGTTTGGACAACACAAGTCAATACTGGCCATGAATGTGAGTATACGTGCCTCCTGGCTTAAAATATGTAGTTCACTAGGGAAGAATATCTTTAGAGCAATAGTATTCATGAGAAAGTTGGATGGATATGTAAATAGACAGATGGACATGCTAAAAGCCATCCCAAAAACCATAGAGCTATTTTTAAAACAACAAATCCCAACACCATTTAACATTAAAAAAAAAAAAAAAATTCGCTGCCCCTAATCTCTTTAACAATTGCAAGAGGAACCTCAAAATAAGGAATCAGCCAAATACCGAAGTAAAATAAGAAGAATATCCAATTCTAGTATTAACAATTTGAGAATGACAACTTTTGGAGCTCACGTCAGCACAGAGATTATGCAACAAAAGCATTAAATTCCAGGCAATACCCCCACAGCCAACAACACATTCTGACAAGCTTCCTCGCCTCAAATATTCACCCACACACATATACCACCTTGACAAGTTATAATTGTTTTGTTACATGCTTGTTTCATGAAAATAAAAGGAAATAAAAATTACCATGAAAGACTAATTACCACTTAAAGGACAATATTTTTAAGCTAACCAGTCAGAAAACCATGTGTGATGATAATTAAAAAATAGTTACCAGATCTAAAGATTATATAAAACAGCATTAAAAGAACAAAAAGATAGAGAAGCAAAGAGATAGACTCACATTTAATTGTGCATACAAGAATGTTAGTAAATCTCCCCCTCTGTAGAAGTTACGAAATTCATAAGTAGCATCAGCAATCAGATCATCAAAAGAAGTATCAGACAAGCTAAGTGCCAACTTATGTAGATTACAAATGTTTCCTAGGGCTTCAATCTGAGTCCTCAATTCCTTTGTGTGCAGGTAGAACTCAAGCAATGTAATTTCAGAATGCACCACACTCTTCAAACATCCTGATTCAGAGGATGCATGCAAAGACAATTCAACGTCACTACTTGATGGACGCCTTAAAACTGCAGATGCATAAACTGTGTCCAATGCGCAGATGTATCCCTCCAAAACTTTTCCCACAGCAACAGCAAAGGCTTGATTGACCAGTGTTTTAGGAGCGCACTTTTCCTCTGCCATTTGATCTTTTTGATGATTTTCGCTTTTTCTTATCAAACTGTACTCCAAATTCATATTTGTAAAATAGTCTACAAATTCACAAGAAGAAGAAAAACTAGCAACCCTGCGCAACCCATAGATTTAAGTACATTTCCAAGAGAGTGAGTGCTTGAAGCTCGTTTCCACACACTTGGAATGCAATGAAAGGTCCTATCAGCTGGATTAGAACAGAAGACAGCAGAGAGCTTTTGAATACTAATAAGGGATGATTTTACACCTTGCAAGGCATTCATCACCAACCTCACCAAACTTGCTTCCTGAGGCCAAATTTTCATAATAGATATGGTAACACAGTCATTGAACAAGGATGATAAGAATAGTCAAAGTATCAGGACAAAGTAAGAGCATAAAATTTTTTAATCTTAATACATCCAAAATAGTAGCTTCAAAGAAGACCGGGTAAGTGTGAGGTTAACTTATTTAAAAATGTTACATGTGTTGGCAAATGTAAGAGGTTGCTTGAATGTGCTGCATTATAATTCAAAAGCAATTAACTGATCTGACATATTGGAAATGTTCCAAAAATTAATATCTATGCACATTGTCATGCCATTCTACAAGAGAATATTATTAAATGCAATGACATTGAAGAACTGAAATCTAGAGCCATTTTTGCTTCCTTAATTCTTTTGAAAGAAAAGAGAACAACAAGGCTGTTTAAAAAGATTCAGTAGAGCTTCAGCATCATCTTTAACTAGCTATAGCCCTCAATAGAGAGCTCAGGCACATCTGGGAATCATGAGATTTTAGATCCGCAACACCATGACCATTAGAGAAAAAAATCTTTATGACATTCGCAAGACTGCAAACATATGTGCATAGAGTGAAATTTAAAAGCTATCAAACATCCAACAAATGGTTAAGACAGATGAGACGCGTATTGTCCAGTCATGTTGACTCTAAGTTATATAATTTGACAGAAACCAAAAAGACTCCGAGTGACAAGGTAGTCTAAACCTTTCACAAAGAGTATTTGGATTACAAGTCAATTGCTAGCTCTGCACCAAGAGCCACAATTTCCCAGTGGTCAAGGCTTAATGGGCATTGAACAT